GTGCCATTTACGTTTTTTGTACTTAGCTCAAATGCACTAGATCAGACATCTTATGTGTTGATAATCTTTTGACATAAAGCAGCATTATGCCTAACACGCCCCCATTAAACTTGGTGTTAAAGACGTTTTTTCGTTACTACGGAGATGGGCTTTTCTATCCCTATGCATTTCAGAATAGATCATACCCCCTTGATCTTCGGAATGATGCCTACCTTGTAGGATTCGCTGAATCAGACCATTTGTCTGATCGCACATGGTACGTTTCCGAATGGTTAAGTCTTTACCATTAAGGAACACCGCAATATCTTGGAAGTCAACCAACTAGACCTTTTTTTGTTGCTAAACTTTTGAATCGTTCCAAGACTCACTATGTCTCATCACGTGAGAGATATGGTTGAGAAATCTTGTTGAGCATATTCAAAATCCCTGTGATTTTCATCTATCGTTGAGTCCCAACAACGATCCATGAAGACAATGCCATATGTATTGACCAGATCATGATACATCCAACAAGTCAACACCAAGCATATTATGTCTACATCAGCATGAGCATCAGAATATTGAAGTCAAGCAGTTTGATCCTAGACAACCTTGCCAACCTATACAACGTCACTGCCGAAGTCTACCTTTCCAGAAGCTTGTCCAAGGAATTGGTATGCGTAACTTTCTCATTTGCAATGCTTGTAGTTTTATTTTGAAGTTTTGTCAAACTCAGGGAGAGTATCTAAAAGTATACTCACTTGATATTAATGTACTCTTTTTTCCTACAATTAGGAGCATTTTTCTCACTAGGTTTTTGCTACCTAACTAGGTTTTAACGAGGCATCTATCCTGGGCTGATCATACCCTTGTGAACTCTTCTACTTGCGTCCAGAAGATGTATAGTTTTGACTTAATGCAACTTCTCACTTTTCTACTTTGAATATGGGCTTTTTGTCTCATCTTGGGTTTTTCCATAGCGAGGTTTTGTGAGTTTTACCACCCATGCATTCTTCCGTTCGTTTTGAGACTCGCATTTGCTACTTGTGCCAACTAGATGAGACGACTTCATCAACTGCTTCTATATTTACCTGAAGATCTGATGCGCCATGTACTTGAGTATTTGCACACTCAAGGGGGAATGTTGTGACATATGTTATTATCAATATGTGATTGTGTAAATCCTAAGTGGAGATAAAATAGGAATCCCTTGAGATTTAGAAGATCTTTCCTAATATACTTTGTATTACTTGGAGAGCAAGTTTCTCTCCTCCTTATTACTATAAATAAAGGCACAAGGATTGGGGAATTAATACACAATTCCTCAAGCCTATTCTCCACTCTCTCTTTCTCTCTATGCCGCACCCCTTGGTAAATATAGGCCACAACAATAACCGCATTTTCACGGAAATTGTAAACTATAGTTGTAAGTTTTTAATCGATTCCGTTAATTTTTTGTAAACTATAGCCCTAAGTTTTTAATTGATTCCGTTATTTTTTTTAAAATTCATATTTTCTTGGCATTTTCCCAGCATCACATGCTTCATAACATTCAAGTTGGACATTCCATAAATGTTCTAGCCGCCGAAATCCATTATGGTTTTGGAAACTCTGTTTTGGGCCTTACTAGTACTGTTCTTGAATTTTCAACTTTTCAACCAAAATTGGGATTTTCGCATAAATTGTGTGCTATAACTCTTACTATTTTAATATTTTTTTTTTTTTTTACATAACAAGTCTATAGTTCGATTTCCTCCGGTATAACAAGAAAATGATTGTCATGGTTGTTCAAATAATTAATAAAAAATTATAGGGTAATTCTATTAACACTCTACAATCTTATGAAGACACTTAAAATTTGTCAGGTGAACTTCCTCTTTTACCCCTATTTGAATTAAGGTGAGAAAAAGAAAATCCAACCATCCAATTATTTGTCGACAGCCAACCACCTCACAGCCATCCACTTACCATGGCACCACATTCTCTAAAGTTCATCTTCTTGTTGGTATGAATTCTCTGTAATTGATATCTGGCATCAATTGTCAAGACAACTCGTGCTTGTTGATTTGATCTATGCTTTTGCACTTCTAATTTCATTTTGTAGTTGCATGTTTCTACAATTCTTTGCGAGTATAAAGCCTCTAGAATTTGGGTATTTTCATTGCTTAATTGAAGTGAAGGACTATTACATTCTTTTTTATTTTCTTTGGAAACGGGGTTGGTGAGTTTGGGTGTTGGAACTCAAGGTGTAGGGAGAGAACGAGAGAGGTTGGAGATGTGATGCTAATGGGGTTTAGGGATGTGAACTCGGTGGAATGGAGATGTTTAGTGTTTCTTTTTGGTTTTGGGGTGGGGTGGCTTCAGAAATATGAGGGACAAAGTTGGAATTTTTGAGGAATTTTTTGGAGGTGGGGTGGATTCATAACATTGTGGGGTGTGTATAAAATAACCCAAAATTATAACCTAGTAATGTAACTAAGGAAAAAAGAAAACACATAAAACAAAAGGATGTTGTAGACGAGAGATTTTTTAGTGTGGGGACAGAGAGTGGAACACCATATGTGATTATACATTGGAGGAATTTTTTTTTCAAGTGTCTTTCCAATTGTATTAGGACATGTGATTTTTCGCTTAAAGTTCTGGACACAGTGAAAAAGCTCTCGTTGTATAAATGGGTTAAATACAGTCTTCTGCATCAAGTTCAAATTCTTGTTCTCATAAGTTTAATTAGACGTTAAAATTGTCATCCAATACATCGAACATAAGACATTTTCTTTGGATCAACGAGAGGAGAGTTCAACTTTTCTCTCTCAAAGACCTCTCTCGCTGAAAGACAAATAGAGGTAAAAAAATTGTACCAGCCGGCCTTAGCCTTTGGCTTGGGTGTCGGTGGTAGCCCCTCTTTTTGATCCTCATTCCCTCTTTCTTTCTTCCCTTTTTCTATTATTTCAATTTTCTACTAAGTTTTGTTTCAGCTTTCTTTGAAATTGGTCTTAATTTTTCTTCTGAATTTGTCTTAGATTTGGGCTTCATGCCCCTTCCTCAGCGTCCATCGTCGCTTGTCCGCCGTTTTTCGTCAGTTTTTACTGCCTTTTGTTATTTAGGTTTCCACCGTCCCTCTCCTGTGCCTTTTGGTCTGATCATGGCAAACATTATTGTATAACATATCGTCTAAGTCAACAAAATAGAAAAGAAAAAACCTTACAACGTCATTTAAGGAAGAACTAGTCTTATGCTAACTTTGGTTTGCGAGCCAATTACTATGCGTCCCTCTTCTTGTTGAAAGGGACAGTTCCCTCCATTTCCTGCGTTGTTGAAGTTCATGTTAACTACATTGCAATGGTTGTGGATTGAAGGGAAAAATAAGGAGAAAGGATGAACATAAAGATGAACAGAGAGATATGAGAGAGAGAAGAAAGTTTAGAGAGAGAAATAGGTTTTGTATTAACTCATCAAATGAAGATTACACATACTATTTATATAGAAATCCTAACTACTTTAACCAGATATTAACTACCTAACTATATTACATTTTTACCCTTAATAGTTCAAACAGTGCAGGAAGAGAGAGAGCCATGCATCTATGGTCGTCGGCGACAATCAGAGACTCCTTCAAGCTCGCCTACCTCAGAAAGCTCGAATGGAACCTCCAGAGGATGAAAAGCGAGAAGGAATCATAGAATTTAGTCGATCAAAAGCTGCTCGACGGCCAAGAAGCCGGAGCTGCCAGACAGCCGAATAGCCCACAATGCGAAATCAACGGGAAAGCACTACCAATTCTAAGGCTCGTGGAGGTGATGGAGTGGTCGTTGGACTCTGTAGCGAGATTCTGATGCTTCTCTCTTGCTGCTTCTGCTGTTATTCATCGTCATTATTTGGTTTTCTACGTGGGGGAAATTTGCTAATTTTTTATCGTCAGTGTTTTAACTTAGGTAGAAAAATTGGGTTAATCGTTGCTTAGGGAGACCTAAAAAAAAAAAAATCTCATATAGGAATAGGACTCAAAAGGTGAACCTCACTGTTAATTTTAAGTGGAAAACAAGTTCACTCACGTGTGAGTGCTGTACATCATCTTCTTTTTGTTAAAAGATGGGTACAGCCAAAAGTAAAAGAATTTATGCGGCCATTTTTATTGAAAGATGGGTAAATTTGGCACGTCCACTTGTATACAATTAATGAAAGTTTCAAACATGACACGTTATATTGAAACTTCAATGAATATAAGATGGGATGAGTACTCGAATTTATATGATTAAAACACCATTTACACTTTTATTTTCAGCCTCCAAAAGCCCAAAACACGAAAATATGGATGATGGTTTTTTTTTACTTTAATGTTGGGTGGGCCTTGTGGGTTTCATTACTCAAAAAGCCTAAAGCAGAAGTGGGCTGTAATTTGCTTTTTGTGGTGGAACCTAACAAGTTGAAGATGGGCCTAATGGCTAGCAGACAGTTTAACAGATCAAGTGAGGTTAGCTACGTAGCCAAGCAAAATTCCATCTTACCTCACCCACATTGAGTTTGAGTTGCCGGTCTCTTGAGACTAGCAAGATTCCAATACCTCTACCTCAGAGGGCCAAAAGAGTGACATAAACATAATGTATATCCTTATTCTTACTATTTCTAAACGTATTATAAGCATATTACTTCACACTATCAGCATGTATAGAAAATTTTCAACGTGAACGTAACACTGTCACATACTGTTATATAATAGGTGATTAGTAACATTACGTGACACTGTCACGATCACATAAAAAAAACTTGGGTAAGGTAATTTGACTAGCTGAATGGTCACACACTCTCATAAAGGAATGAGCATTGCTTTTGGTACCTATGACCCGATGCAGGTACAATTTACAATCACACAGTCTCACGCTTTGTGAGAGTGACTTGATTATCAAGCTGCAATAGTGAATACTCTCTCCTACGATTAAAACTCTCATGCACCATATTTCATACCCGTTTTTCTGTCTATTTATCTAGATTAGTCCTATGATGTGATGAGAGAGATTAAAAGAAAGGATATGAAACTGAAACATGGAATATATAAGTAAAAAAAATGTGTGCAAGCTTCTATGATTGCTTCTTCTAGCACGGCAAACAAGTGCAATACTTCAAAGTCAAGCAACCACCGTCGCTTCTTCTTAAGAGCTCACCCTCACCCTCAGTCTCCACCACCAAAGGGACCTCCCTCTACTGCCACATCTTCAAACTTCAACTGCAAAAATTACCAACAAATTAATCAAATTTACTTAATTATGGCACCCATCACCAGCCTCGTCTGCTTCGTTCTCACTCACTTTGGTTTTCTCTGGACACCCACAGTTTTTCAAAATTTCAGGCATGAAATCCCCATTGAGCTCGAGCGAGGTACATTCAGCAGTTACAGGTACGAAAATCCCCTCGGTCTCTCTCCCTTGGGTTTTGGTTTTGCACACCCTGTACTTGTAACCCTTATGTAATCTCATCATTGCAGCTACCTGCATTTAATTGTTGTTCAAACTTAATCAACACCATATATATAGATATATATGTGCGATTATATGTATGTATGTTGAAACAATCAAAGTTCGACATGAAGGGCCGTTGTTTGGTTTTGGAGCTGCAGATGGTGTTCTGATCATGGAATTCTGATCATGGAAAACATTGTATAACCTATTGGAGCTGCAGATGAATGTATTGTACATGTGTTTTGTTATGCATCGTGTATGATCAGGAGAAATTAGTCTGTTGTATTGGATACGAAGCATTGACATTCGCCTATCTTGTTAGTAAGTTCTCTTATCATTTTATCTTGTACATATTTTGTGGGTGTCGATTAATTTGGGATTGATTCTCCAGTGAGTCAGTTTTGTAAGCATTTCATTTTCAGCTTTTAGTTTTTAGTTTTTATTTTTTGGTTTTTGGTTTTCAGTTTTCATTTTTTGAATTTGAAAAATGAAATATGGTTTTGTAACTACATTCAGTTTTCATTTGAAACCAAAAAGTGAAAACTCACGACTAAATTTAGAAAACTCAAGAAAATAATTTTTAGGTATTATTCTTTTTGAAATCTGGAAGCAGTTACCAATTAAGATTTCAGTTTTCAATTTAAAAAATAAAAAAGTGAAGACGAAATGTAAGAAGTTTGAACGAGTTTAGATGACCTTTAAGGTTTAAGCATAAGGGGTTGCCTTAAATAGAAGCAATTAGAGCTAATTTCTACACTTTACCATCCTTTATTTCTACACTTTGTACTGGTTTGGTACTGATGTGCTTTTATAAAAAGTGGGTATAAAAAAAAGCTGAGCTCAAAAAGGTGTTTGGTAAACACTTAAAAACAACTTATTTTCACAGTTTTGTATGAAAAAAAGTTGAAAACATGAAGTAGCAAAAATGAGCTTATTCTCACATCACAGCAGAAGCAGTTTTTTTTTTCAAAACACAGCAATACAAAACCAATCTAATCTGACGGACCAAATCTTCCACATCACTATCAATTCTACTTCATCCTCTTACTCCAAAGTCTCATTCACTAAATGATCCAAAAGTCCAATTCCATTTTAATTGGGTGACCTTGCCACTCAGAGTATTTCAATTGTGTAGGGTTTGCAACAGTGGTGTGCAGAGTCAAAAATCCATGTTAGGAGAGGCCCTTAAGCTAATGAAAGAAATTAGAAAAAAAAATTAGTAATATCATGGAAAATTTTAATCAAACAAGAGTGATTGAGCTTTAAAATTTGTATGAAAAAATTAGTATTGAGTATAGTCATAGTAAATAGAACTTGTGTTAACATCTTACACAACATTGATAATAACGTTATAACTAGCTCAAACTATTATTATGTGATTTTTCTTTTAATATTATTGAATGTTCTTCTCAAATGTATATATACCTTGTTTTATATGAACTAAAAAAAAGGTTTTAATAGAAATCATAGGGTTGGCAGAAGGGTGGTTATATATGGTTTTTACTTGTGGGGGGTTTAAAAAACCAAAAGGTAGTTTTCTGTTAGCAAGTGTCAATCCCAGGACGTGATGATACCTCCAAAATGTGGAAGTAGTTACCAATTAAGATTTCAGTTTTCAATTAAAAAAAAAAAAAGTGAAGACGAAATGTAAGAAATTTGTACGAGTTTAGATGACCTTTAAGGTTTAAGCATAAGGGGTTACCTTGAAGAGAAGCAATTAGAGCTAATTTCTACACTTTACCATTCTCTATTTCGACACTTTATCTGATCTGACATACCAAATCTTCCACATCACTCTCAATTCTACTTCATCATCTTACTCCAAAGTCTCATTCACTCAATGATCCAAAAGTCCAATCCCATATTAATTGGGTGACCTCGCCACTCAAAGTTTTTCAATTGTGTAGGGTTTGCAACAGTGGCGGAATGCTAGGAGGGACCTTTTAAGCTAATGAAAAAAATTAGAAATTTTTTTTAGTAATATCATGGAAAATTTTAATCAAATAAGAGTGATGGAGCTTTAAAATTTGTATGAAAAAATTATTATTGAGTAGAGTCATAGTAAATAGAACCTGTGGGGGTTTAAAAAACCAAAAGGTAGTTTTTTGTTAGCAAGTGTCAATCCTAGGACCTGATGATACCTCCAAAATTTGATCTACCAATACACCACATACTCATTATTGCTAAAACCAATAGACAAATATAAGTTTAAATTCCAGGATGGGCACTGGACTACCCTAGTCTCTATGTGGCTCCACCATTGGTTGCAATTGCATTAAATGAGATACAACGTTGCAATATAGCATATTTCATAGCATACTTAAGGTATCTAGACACCTACTTTTAGTTCTAAGGGAAATTCTCTCGTTTTAACAAGAAATTATTGTATGGTACTGGGACGTTGTTAAAAGATATAGCCATTTCAATTTTAACATTCAAATTGGTATTAAAATCAACTCTAAAGCATAATTTCGCCGTCTACCTATTTCATAACACACAAATTTGTATATATTTTTTTGTTTTCATTTCAACTTAGTCATAATCAAAATAGATTTTTTTTACTCATAAGTGTTGTGGCCAATTTATCTGACAAGGGAGAGAGGGGCGCAACAAGATAGAGAATGGAGAAAGTGTTGGGATTTCTGTGTGTATGAGATGTGTTATTTCCCTACAGAGTGCCTTTATTTATAGTAATAAAGAAGAGAGGAATTACCTGTCCTCCAAGTAAATACAATCCTAGTAGGGAAAGAATAAATAGTAACCAAATCTGTTTAAGATTTACACAAGACCTTTGATATAATATCTATAACACTCCCCCTTAAGTGTGTAAATAGTCAAGTAGATTCATCATCAAGTAAAGTTGAGGAAGTCAACTCGTTGACACTGATTTGGCAACACACTAGTCTTAGACAAAGGAACTTGCATATAGAACTAGGTCTCACAAAAACCCAAGGTGGGTCAAAAACCCGTAGTCTAAGGAAGGTGCGTGAGAAAGTGTAAAGTCAAATTAACGTCTACGAGACGTATTTCAAGAATATGACCAATCCAAGATGGGTGCCTCGTCAAAACCTCATCAGGTAGCAAAAACCCAAAGGGAAAAATTCTCCCAATCGTAGGAAAAAAAGTACATTAAAATCAAGCGAGTATACTTTGGGATACTCCCCCTGAATTTGACATAATTCCAAAGAGAACTAACAATATTACAACTCAGAAAGTTTACGTATACCGATTCCCTGAACAAGCTTCTGAAACGTCGTCTTCGGTAAAGATTTGGTGAAGAGGTCGGCTAGGTTGTCCTAGCCCAGAGAATATTTTCAGAGAATATGATGGGATTTGGAAAAACAATAAGTTAAATATTAAGGGGAAGTAGTATTTATATTTAATTGTTGCTTTAGCTTGTGTATGTGTATGGAGGCTTCTTTTGCACCCCTCTCAACTAAAATTCCATCAGAAAAAAAAAGGGCTGGGAGAGGCCATGAAATCGTGGGTATTGTTAGGTTTAAGTACTAGTTTGGTACTGCTTAACTTTTAAAAAAAAGCAGGTATGAAAAAAAGCACCCAATTTTTTTGTGTTTGGTAAACTTTCAAAATCAGTTTTTTTTTTCCATAGTTTTGGGTGAAAAAAGGTAAAAAGGCAAAGCAGCAAAACCCAGCTTTGGAAAACCAGTTTTTTATCACAATACACGGGTGAATAGTGCCATTAAATGAAATTTTCAAAATGGTAACCTTACCCTATCTTTCTCCTTCATCCCAGTTCTGGACTCCACCCCCTTTCTCCAGTCGCTCTCCGATGTTGTACTGCCTAGATTCACCACCCCATCTCTCTCCCAATCCCCACCAAATACACCCATCGCCACCTTGCAGACAATGATCCCAACCCACTCCCTGCTAGATGATAACACAGATCCCACCCACCCACCCACCACCGCACCTTCCAAAACATGTAATGCCCTGGAAATTGAAATGTAGGAAATAGAAATTGGAGTGAGGACGAAGGTGCCAGGTCGCCGGAATTGAAAGAGAAATGCCAAGGGACGAAGGTGGGTGAGGACTTTGAAATTTCAGGAGGGATCATTGATTAAAAATGGAAGAAAAGCCAGAAACATTTTGGCAGAACGAAATAGAAAGAAAGAAGAATGAAAAAGCTAGAAACAAAGGGAAACAAAGAAGAAAGGAAAAAGGAAACAATCATGAACTTTTTGGCAGAAAGAAAAAGAAAAGAAGAAAAACCCAAACGTTTTTTTTTTTTTTTTCATTTTACACAATCACAACTGTTTTACATAAATATTTACCAAACACTATAACACTACTTTTTTTTTTTATTAAAAGCACTTTTACAATTATCGTTACCAAACACTTTACTGCTTTATTTTACAGCTAATTATTCTTACAGCACAACAGAAGCAGTTTTTTTTTCAAAGCACAACAATACCCTTCACTTTTTTTACTATTTCTGCAAGAACTTACCCTTCACTTTTGCTTGCTGAGTGGGTTGGGCACTGTAAAAACTAGAAGGTGAATACTAGTTTGCATCTAGAAAACAAAGGGCAACTTTAAGCAAACAAGGTTCTCTGCTTTGTGAAAGTCGTGGGCAGAAGGGGGGTGAAATCCTTAACCCTCGCAAATACATAAATGACACGTTTACTAATCCGTAATCAGAATGAGGAAAATTGAAATGAGGATGAATTGAATTAAGGAGGTGTTGAATTGAGGGGAAATCATAATCAAATTCATATTAAATTTATTTACTAATTCACTTGAATCGGAATTGAATTTTGTTTGATTACTAAACTGCTCTTGTTCTACATAATTTTTTTTATCATCCTCGTTAGTAAAAATTTTAATTTATTTAACATACATTAATCCAATTTGTCGCCATAAAATAGAGGAAGAATGTTTTTTTTACATAAAAACAAAAATAAATAAAAAAACTCATAACAACGAACACAAAGGAAGCACTTTTTTCCCCAATTAACCTCACCATCTCCCTTTCACCAGCCACCATAGCCCTCCCATCAGTGGCGAAGCCAAGAATTATTAAGAAAAAGGGCGAAATTTAAAAGGGTAAAAAGTCCTGGAAAGATGTAGACATTTATTCAAGGCCTAAGTCCATGGTACGCATGAAGATTAGACAATACTTCATTCAACTAAGTGACTTCACTTTATTGAGAACTTTCCTGAATATTCGAATGAGGATTTGTACTAACCGAAATATTCGAATGAGGATTTAGTCTACCCGAAAATATTCAAAAGAGGATTTGGGCTAACCGGAATATTTGAAGGAGGATTTAAGCACCGTTTCTTATAATATAGTTCCATTATGCAATTGTATAATGAGCAGGGTTTTAAAAGACATTATGCACTAGTCAGGTGGCGTGATGTGCTCTAATGCCT